AAGACGTCAACCGATGGGTCTGAGAGGCGGCGATGGCTGCGCTGAGGAGATGATTTTGGCGAGCCGGCAGAGGCCGACGACACGGCACGGTCGAGAGAAACGGTGGCGCAACAGGACACGACAACGCCATAGCATCCTGGGCATTGGAAGTCAAAATAGAGGGGTAAATATTAGCAACCGAAAACGAATAGCGTCGCTCATATATGTGTGTTTGTGTTCAACTCCTGGACTGAGAACAGAGTTTTAGGAAAAAAGAACTAAGAGATGTCCCACTGAAGCGAATAGCTGATATATAGGCTGAGGGACAGACCCCTTTGAAAACGCAAGTATACTATCTCCAATGCATTCAACCCAAGTACCAAGCCAGTTTATCCGCTCACCCAGCCAGGAATTACCAGCGAAAAGGGCTCGCGACAGATGAGCAGCATAACGTTGACAAGGCAAGACTGGAGGCTCATCATCACCAACCACATATACATACATACATACATAGTTTATTACGCCCAAGCTAAGCCATTCACATATATGAAAGGCGGGTTGTGAGCAATAGCAGCATTGTTGAGCCACTATAACATGAATAGCATGCACTCTACAACGATAGAAAAAGGGAGAAAAAAGGAAGAGGGCGACAAGAAAATAGTTATAGAGCAACAGACCCAAAATGATCGGCAAGGTCTGTAACCTTCTCATTCTCAGTAAACTAGTATTACGACCCGTCATGCAAGGATAACAAACAGACCGACCCCACTCGGGCGTCGAGCGGCTAGGACAGGACCGTAACACTGTTACATACTCTTATGATAGAATTCTGCAACAGTAACCTCTATAGCCTGCCATAAATAGCTCCAAAGCGGCCAACACCAAGTGGGAAACCAAAAAAAAAAAGATCAAATCAAATCCCGACACTCCGCCGCCTTGCCAGGTTCCGGCAGCGTCTGGGAGAGTCTTGTCTTTCCGCATCTCCATCCCGCAATTCGGCATCGCGAAGAGTATAGCATTCGGGCAGTTATCGGAAGCTTCTTCCTGATTGACGAGCCAGGATGATGATGCGAACGAAAACAAAATCATCTCCTGTATCCTTTGGAAGTCTGACACCTTGTTTCGCCAAGAGCGTCAGTTTCCTAGTTTGTGCTGCTTCTAGATACTCAGCAGCAAGATGTCTTCCTTCCCCATTCGCCAACGGAAGCTATTTGCTTGGCTTGTAGGCTTCGTTGGGCTTGACCTATCTCGATATTCATGGCGATTGCCTCCTATGGTAATAATTACGATCTATAGCTTCTGGATTCCGGCATACTCGTTGAAATCGGTGGTCCAGATGTCATGCTATGCTCTCATACTGGGCCGCTGACTATCAAGAGGCGATTGTCATAGTCGTTAGGAACCGTGTTTTTCTCGATTTCTGACGATGAGCGAACGTGGTAACAGTGATGTGATGGATTTAAGAACTTACTGCTGACGCTGAGGCGCTGGAGAGGGCTGGATGACAGCCTCTGGCACTCGCTGGCAGACTACAGGAGTGGCAGCCGAGTGCCAGGGCCCGTCAATAATTTCATTCCCGCTAAAGGAGACTTTCAAGTCCCTCCCAAGAAAAACACGCCGAAGGGACACTCGTCCCCACAGTAAACCTCGCTACGAAATTACAATCTTCTTGATATAGCACATCATCTCATCCTCCACCTTATCAAACGAATCAAAGAATGGCTCAACTCGCAACAAGTTCTCAATCTCCTCCTGGCCGGGAATATTCTGTCTCACATAGTTGACAGGCCCATCCTCAATCGAATGCGGGATGAACACGGACGCGTTTGTTGTGATGGGCGTGCCATCCTCCCGGATCCCCACACCCACCGGATCGCCGTCGACAAACCACATGCCCAGCACGGGATACCACGAGCTGCCCTTGACGTCCTTGAACTCGGGAAGCACGGCGAGCTCCTGCACAATGTACCCTTCCGCGCCATAGTCTCCAGTCGACGCGTCTTGGAGTATCTTGCCGTCCTTCTTGAGCACCACGTCAGCGCCCTCGCGCGCAAAGATGGGCTTACGCGCAAAACTCGTCATGGAGGCCGGCGCCTCATTGTCAAAGTATGTGGGGAGAAGCCACTTGCCGCGCGGATCGTCCTTGAACATGTTCCAGAGAACAGCAAAGATGGACTTGTTGCTCCACAGGAGCTTGTATGGCGGCTCGATCCAGACCGTTCCCCCGACGTAGTTGCCCTTTTCGTCGCGCTTGCCAATATTCTCCATATCCTCGAAACACGCCTCGCCAAACTGCTGGTTGACCATGTACTCCCACGGGTAAAGCTTGAAGATGACGTCGATATGCTGGCCCTGCGCATCGTAGAACCGCCCGTCCTTTTTCGACTTTGCAATCTCCTCCATCGTCAGCGCCTTGGTCGTCCACCCGGACTGCTGGCACGTCTCCATCAGGAGCATGGTGTTCATCGCATCCTCCCCTGTGGCCTCACCCTCGCCGACGGCGAAGTGGACCGTCGGCTTGTGGCCCAGCTCCTTCTCGACGAGCGCCATGTTACGCTTCCAGCCCTCGATAAGCTTCTCCGTGATGCTGTTGAATTGGTCGTTGCCGTGGCCCGTCTGCTCCATCCACAGCCACTGGATCGAGGCCGCCTCGAGTAGCGACGTTGGCGTGTCGGCGTTGAACTCATAGAACTTGGGCACGCGCAGCCGCGGGTCCGGGTGCTCGAGGCCGCCGAAGCAGATGTCGAAGCGGCCGTAGATGCTGCCCCAGGCCGGTTCGCGGTCCCATGAGGCCTTGATTTGTTTCAGGGCGAAGGCGGGGACGGCCATTTTCTTGGTGATGACGTCTGGGTGCTCTACGAGGTAGTCTGCTGCTTCGCAGCACATTGAAAAGACGTCTCTGGCGGCTTCTTCGAGGAGGTTCATCTCTTTTTCTTTGAACGAGTAGTAGCGGTCGTCTGGCCAGTACGGCTCCGAGGCGCCGGGGGCCACGAGGTCCGCGAAAACGAGGCCTTGGCTTTGGACCAGACGGGTGGCATTTGTCCTCTTTTGTACTGGGACACGGCGCATTTTTGTTGTTCTCTTGGTGCAAGATCAAAGGAAGAAGGAGACGATTTGTGGAGTATGGACGTTGTCAAGCTAGGCAGAGTTGAAAGAGAACTCCAAGTACAGGCACGATCAGGCCCGGCCGCTATTCTGAGGGGCAGTCTTACAAACTTATTCACCAGTAGGGTGTCTCTAAGCAGTCGCCAGGCCTACCTAAAGTTTGGATGAGGTAGGGTTCACCCCTAATCCATGACACCCTGAATCCTAATACGGACACCTTTCTGATCGTCCCGATCCTGCGGAAACTTATTTTGAGCTGGGGTTTGATGGGTGGATGGGAATCATCTCTAGTTAAGTTTGCCGCTAGAAGAAGTCTAATACAAACGAGGCTTTCCAAAAGCTTTGACATCTCCTCGGGATCCTATGTGTTGTGATCTGCTCTCTCTCTCTCTCTCTTTCCTTCTGCCCCGAGAGACACGTTGCCGATTAGCCGTATTACAGAATGAGTTGCACACTAAGAAACAGCTGGAGCCGCAACTCATGGGCACTGCATGCTAACCCCTATCCTTTCTATCCTTTTTGTCTATGCCCCAGCGGGTGAGAATGGACAGCACTTTCGCCAAGGGCGCCCAAGGGCGAGGTAGAGCAATTAAGGGCTCGCAAATCTGTCAATTAAACCGATAGGTCTGCAGTACCTCTGATTCCTACAGATTTTGAGCATGCCACAGGTCCCAGAAACCTTTATCAATACGGAACGGCATTACATCCTCGCCTAAGCAGACTAAGAGGCTTTGAACCGACAATCAAGTGCATACTTCATCGCTGGCACAATTCGGAGAGACGAGACGAACGTTCTCTCGCTGCAGTATGAAAGCATCACGCTAAAAGAAGATTCCCATTTTTTCAAACTCCATCTGCCCACGCATCGACGCGTGTTTGTTCTGCCCTCTGCCTTCTCCGGAACCATGTTTTCGTTCTCTGCTGCTGCCCGCTGGGAACGCTTCAGCCGCGCATATACCTAGCGCCATCGACTCCAAAAGCTCACGTGTCACCAGCGCTTCGGGTTCAGTCCCCGAAGGCCCTCGGCTGGTCTACCGCAGATCGACACCGTAACCCAACCTTGGCAACACACTTCATCGTTCTGAACTTGACCCACACAGGCTGGGCCGAAAGCCAACCTAACTGTGTACATATACCACCATAGTTGACAATAAGAGAATGGCAGTTGTTGAAGCAGGTTATGGATACTTCCAAGTAGCTGTTGATTACGTGTTGTTACTCGCACTGTCGCTAATAATCCCGACCCCACATTTTGGATTGCAAACATGTCGCCACAGCCATTACTAGAGGTTTTGTCACAAGAGTGTGTATGAGGCAGTCAACATAGAGGATAATTGAATAGGTGTATATATTGATCAATTCATAGTTAATGATGATACTAGTAGTGATAAAGGAAAGAAAAGTCGGTGTATTCTTGCTTGAATCTGATATTGGGATATTCGGATATGTAGGTGGTATATATATATCCTGGATATGCAATCCTTATGCCTGACACCTCCATATTCGTATAGGCTTATCTGATGGGTTTGCAGGGGCCCATCACATCAGTTTTTGACTGCTCAAACATAGAAAGTATTTACAAAAGAGGAAGCGACATGTGCACAATAAAGCATCGCTGTGTAACACTTTCACTTGTCATTTCGAGTGTTCGACCAGGACACTCGAATTCAAGGGAAAAAAGTAAATTAAAAAAGAAATCTGTTATTCAAGCAAGATTTGGAATTTGTCCCAGTCCCGGACCCCGGGTTTCATTCCTTGCTGCTGTTCCGGCCCCTTCCAGCCTTGCATACCATACAGGTAGAGCCACCACAGCCCATTCAACACAAACCTCCCCAGAGACTACCAAAGACCACACGTATGTTCCTCTAGGGACCGTTCTAACCACCATTGTTGCCACCCTTGCCAACACCGCTGACAACACAGTGTCCAAGGGACGGATCACACTGTCTCTGCGGCGACCTACGCCCGAAACCGCCGCTGACTTGATCGGCCTCAACCTCCGTCTCAAGCCCTTCGAGGTAGCGGGCGGCGTCAGCGGAGGTTTCGACTTTGTCCTCGACAATGGCGTCCCCGATCTGTAGGTCGTCTCCCTCGTGCTCGGCGAGGAAGAAAGTGTTTGCGGGTTGGGAGCCGTCACAGCTAGCTTGGGCGACTACTTTGCCGGCAGTATCAGTGCAGTAGACTTTCGCTTCGGCCGAGGCGGCGAAGAATGCGGCCGCCGCGATTTGGATGGTGGGAAGGGTGATGTGTTGGGTCTTCATTGTGGATGTCGAGAGCTGTTTGTTTCCAGGATAGGTGGAAAGGGGTTCAAGTTGTTGGAACTGATGAAAGTGATGATGGTTTTGGAAGATTGTTTTGGAAGATTGGGAGTGGTCAGAGATGGCGGTTATTGAAAGAGTTAAGTGCGTAATGATAGCGAACGATGCAAATGTGTCGCAGGATCAAGGCTTCCTATTTATGTCCTTCGACCGGGCGATTGAGATGGATGAGATGGCAATATCTTTTAGCTAGTTACCCACCCACATAGATAACAGGTTGCAGCACGAAGAAACGACCATGCCATAGGCAGAGTCGAGGTTTTCATGATTCCCCGATTATATTCTACCGTCATCTGACTCAATTGCTTCTGAGGTCGAAGGTTTTGAACGGTAAGATTTCTGTTTGAGTTCTGCTGGGGAGTATCAGAACTACGGATGCATTCACTTAGGTGAAACTCACCGGTTACAGTCACTACTCAGTCAACTACATGTTCAGGCCAGGATTGCCTTACAAGTAGTAAATTTTGTTCCTTCGCTCACTACCACGCCCACTTCGCGACCTGTACACAATACGCATGCACACATATGAGCTTTAAGAAGCAAAGATTGGAGCGGTGATAGAATATGGAGATAGTCAGAGGAGCCTAGATAGCTCGGCGGGGCGTAACACAACTGTTACGGTCAGCTATTCGACAGTAGGGTCTGCTAACAGAAGTTGTGGATTGACGTTAAAACAGTACAGTTAGGGTCGTGGTTGTGGGTCGTACGGCCGTAGGCTGTAGTAGATCGGTCTCTAGAGGCTAAGGTGATCAGTCTTAAGACTCAACAAGGTGTTCGCAGTGAAGGTAAGCTGAAAGTATCCTTAGTGATATTCACAAGTTGATTGCTGAAGAGCTATGGAAGTCTGACCATGAGCCGGGCTCAGGTCATGCTATATACAAGTCTTGTTCTTGAACATGTCCCTTGTACCTTGGATCGCTTTGGATCATTCTGATCCGCAATGATCGCTTGGCCCCCAAGTCTTGTTGAATCATTTTGATTTAGAATGATCATTATCTTATCATCACGTAACTTGCACCATAGTTCTTCCGTTTCCGAGTGAGTCCCTGCTGTTCCTGTAATCCTGCTGTGCAAATGTCCTGTTTTAGCCGCCCAACACCCAAGTGGATCGGGTAACTGTTATTCTTGGATAACGGGTCGTAACACTGGTATTCATCTTGTCTAGCCTCGGTATGTAAGCTTAATCCCACCCCATATTCCTTTCTGCGCCCGAGTGGCCTCTTCAAACCTTCCTGCGCTGATTATCAACGGCGTTGCCAGTATTATTCTAGAACAACTTGCAAACAGGAAAGTCCTGGACAAGCAGCAAAAGGGTGGTGATAGTGGTATTGCGACCAATCGAAACCAATCACGCCAGGTCAGAACCGAGGGTTATGTTCCAGCCACAGTGACTCATCGTACGATGTCGTCTCTGCCTCTGCGCTGCGCCCTGCGTCGTCTGGAGAGACGGGAGAATAATTCGTCCCTTTTCCCGAGAAGGGATCCGTCGGACTGTTGCAACCCGACGGGGGGGGGGGGGGGGGCCCTCTCGAGACTGGGGTGTGGAGGGTCTGTCCACCTGCCCACAATTTCAGGATCGATTCTTCAGACCTGCCGGACCGCTCGGTCGTCAGCCATCACGCCGGTCCAGCATGACAGGCAGCTTGTGCGTAGTGCTCCCCACACTTTTCTCTCTCCGGAGTTCTCCGGCAGTGCTGTGACTCGGCGCTACCCGTAGGTTTGCTCCAGTCGGAGATGGCCGAGACCCCGGCGTATTCTGATCATCTGGCCTCAAGCCATGCGGCTACGGGTCTAGACCTCAGCGGATACAACTACGCTCATGGAGTCGCATTGGGCGGGGCCGG